ATGCTGGTCGTTGGTTCGAGTCTCGTCACCGAACACACTCGACCTTTCAATCATGGAGGCGTTACAATCTGATGGTTAATCCCATTATTCGTTGGTAAAGAGTAGCCCAAGAGTTGGCGGTTGGTGGTGTTGACTAGTTGCCTTCCCTCATCTTAAAGTAGAGACAGCTAGCACAGATAACCCTTAAGTTGCTTTGCGCTAAATTAAAGCAGCAAGTGATGGCTATTAGACACGGGATGGAAATGATGTTTACATTTTATGTGCAGTATGAACAATCCGGTTGCTTGGTATCATTTATTATTTGTTACTAAGATAATTATATGTATAATACTGAGAGTAGAACTTCATGGTTACAATTTCCGTAGTGATTGTATGAATATGTCCTTCATTTTGGTAACGGTATTCTCGTCAACAGCATTGTTGTGTGTATTTCCTGTTAATTAGTGGTTATTATCCTCATCTTTTATGTAGTTAACGTGGCCTACTGGTTAATGTGCTTGGATTGTGAAATAAAAGGTTCATGGTTTGCTGCTATGTGTTTGTTTGTTTGTTTTGAATTTCGCGCAAAGCTACACGAGGGCTATCTGCGCTATCCGTCCCTAATTTAGCAGTGTAAGACTAGAGGGAAGGCAGCTAGTCATCACCACCCACCGCCAACTCTTGGGCTACTCTTTTTACCAACGAAAAGTGGGATTGACCGTCACATTATAACCCTCCCATGGCTGAAAGGGCGAGCATGTTTGGTGGGACGGGGATTCGAATCCGCGACCATCAGATTGCGACCCGAGTGCCTTAACCACCTGGCCATGCCGGGCCTCATGTTACTGAACCACTACACAAGAAAAGGGGCAACTTGATTTTATAATGATAATGTATAAAACAACAAACACATACATGATAATTCCATGATAGTTTTATTGTTTAAAACAACTTATTTTATAATTCTTAAATCCTATAGAAACGTCGAATAGACAAACGATTTTGGGAATGAATACGAACAGCAAATTCTAGATTTTGTTAAAAACGTCGCTATACAATTATGAACCCATGGTATGCATTCATACCAAATGTTTTCTACCATCTAATTTTAATGTAAAATACGTCAAAATCATTTGTTTATTCCGAAGCTATGTATATTTTGACATAACACATGGTAAAAAAGTTGTTAAGTAAATTTCGTTCTAGCTGCCTTTATTACTGTGTTATTCTCTGTAGTTATTCTTTTATTCAAATTTGATGCAAAACTACTTAAAGGCTATCTGCTCTAGCCGTTTCTAAGTGATAGAGTATAGAAAAATTGGGAATGGATGGTGTTGAGTAGCTGTCCTCTAGCCGTCTTGAAGTGATAGAGTAGAGAAAAGATAGCTACTCAACACCATGCATTCCCAACTCTTGGGCTAAACAACAAATAGTGGGAATGAACATCACAGTACAATGCTCCACGGATATTCGGCAACAAGTTTCGATCCCGCGTCTTTCAGTTTGTTGGTAACGCTAATCGCTATGGGTAAATCCGATGTTTTCCTGTTAAGTAACAAATGTGATATTTAAACATTACAGGCACAGGGTCTTAGATGAGTTGGTTATCTGAAAGACGTTTTGATGGAAGAAAGCCAATTGATCAATTCATGAATCCAGTGAAGTGCGACTGTCCAGCGTACAGAAAGCAAGTACACATACTGTGTTTTTGTCTTTGATTTAAATAAAGATTGATTTTATTTTGTGTTACAAATTGTGTCCAGTCTGTTTGCTTCTTTGCTTTATTATGAGTAAATTGAATTAAATTCAGCTCTACTTATCCTGCCGATACTACCGTTATAAAGTGGTTCTACCTAATACTGTTTGCGGAAATCAGTTTCACCTGAAAATACTACAAACCTATCCAGTTTGTTTTAACCCTTTTCTGTGCGACTAATATAAGCCCTGTAACCCACAAAGTCTTGGACAAGTTTTTGGGTTATAAATATAATAACCATATAAGAAATTACGGAAACCAATAACTTACAAATAAACAACAACAAACATGGAAATTATGTTGAAAATATGCATATCTTCTAAAGGCAAAACCTCAGATCATATGCATCGAATCACCTACTACAGAAAAAAATTCGTGATTACAAGTCACGGAATTGTCCATACGCAAAATATTCTATATACGACACAGAAAGTTAACCCTATGTTGATTTTCAGCTTGATAAGTATATTCTTGCAAGAGCAGACAAAGGTAATATTTCATATAATGAACGACAGACCAATAGGTAATTCCGTGAACTATTGTAGCCATTTACTTTTCTTGAACTTCTTAAAACTTGTAAACCAAGAAGGGAATTTCAAAACCATTCTTCCAAAAGGACCAAAACAGTTGACAAACTGAGAAAAGAATATTAGTAATACTAGAATTCAGAGATAACTTGGAATCTTCACATGCTACAAAGAATTCGGATTTTTTCAGAACCATCACACCCTCTACTGAATAATAAGTTTCTCATTTCTAATATTTACCATAAACACAAGCATTAATCTGTTGTCTGATCTTTTAAATTTGATAATTCTTCCTTAGAGACGTTTTAGAGTAAATTATATAACCAACAGTTCAGTTATTTCAAATGGATATATCAGTTTTTGATGTTAAATGAAAGTAGAAGAATGATGATCAATGAATTTTGTGAAACAGCTATGAAGTTTGTATCTCTTAAAAAATACCAATTTGTATCACCGAACAATGAATTAATTTGAAACCAGCAAACAAATAACGTTTTTGTATAGCTCTATATTTTGAATTTATATTTAGGAATTGATGGTAGCCCTGATTAGCCTCATTCAACTATGTTCTATGGAACAAGTTTCCATCATTATTGATAAATTTAGTAGAAGATGAACAGACTCTCTATTGTGATATAGTTTTTCACACCAATAAACCTATAAGGGTTGAGTTATGAATTATTGCAAAGAGAACTGCAAACCTCAATATAAGGTTTGTTATACTTATAATAGTAAAAGAAAGGCTCATCAATACATTTATACAGGAATATGATGTTGCTTATTCCTCTGAACACCGTACCAACATCCCTACATCTTTTTTAGGATACGTTCACCGAAACGGAACACAGTACTAGAGATATACTTTAACTGGTCTTGTATAAGAATAATTATACATATTTATTCTAAAAGTATACCTCTAAGTTATATTAGCATTGTTATACACTACAGTAAACTATATTGAAGATTATAAAAGGAGAAAAAACATACAAAATTTCCAAATATTTATCTATATGTTAAATGTTTTCCATGATGTTTTTAATAATAATTAATAATACATTAAATCTTGTAGTTTGCAGCATCAAATACCACCTCCTTAGTTATTCTGCAACTATAGGGCGGCCCACAGTATAGCTGGCCACACCGTTCATTTTTCATAAGCGTTTGACTCTCAATCTCCGGGTCGCGAGTTCGAATCCCCGTTCCACCAAACATGCTGGCCTTTTCAGCCGTGGGGGCGTTATAATGTGACGGTCAATCCCACTATTCGTTGATAAAAAAGTATCCCAAGAGTTGGGGGTAGTAGCGATGACTAGTTGCCTTTCTAGTCTTTCACTGCTAAATTAGGGACGGATAGCGGAGATAACCCTCGTGTAGCTTTGCGCGAAATTCAAACAAACATTATACACAAACTTTCCAGTTTTTCTCTGACGGGCTTGCATGTGATTTCTAAATTTGTCTGTATTTGTCTTGTATTGATAGGCTGCTGGTTTGTATCAGTAAACTGGGAAATAAGTAAATAAATATAGAAAGCTTCATTAAGTTGTGTAATCTGTTTACATTTGAATACTGTATTTTGTTCTTACCTTGGTGTGTCAGATACATTATTTTTTGTCTGTCTTACTTTATTTATTACTGCTGCTTATGTTTTAGGAAGACCTTTTATCAATCTGTTTTCAACATGTCTTTTTCACATTCTAGGGGAAAACGATGTATCTGCCAGTCTCTTTTGTGTGGTAGTAGAAGTAAGTGCTGTATGCAGGAGCTTATACTAGTTATAGACCCTATTCTAGGTCCATTGTATGTTTCTGTTTTAAACCTGGATTTGTTTTACTTATGAAGTTTTTCCAATATTAGCACATATTAGCTTAGCACATATTTTAGGTCTTGCTACAAGGTGTGTGTCGTGTACGTTTAAAAATTGATGTATTGGTACTTGCAATTTTTAATGTTATCAGCCAGACAGACCATTACTTTTGCCTGGTATACTGTCCTCAGTCTATTTAGTACCAGATGTTTACAACCTAAGCCAACATCGGTATGAAACTTAATCCATTGACAATTGAAATTTTGTTGTATACTATATAAAATATAACTATATATGCCACATCATAGCTTTATTTCTTAAATCGTGTTTAAACATTTGTGTTTTGTATATAATAATTTTTTACCTAATTTGTCTACAGAGCTTTATAAACTTACAACTAGTTTTTAGTGAACATCATAGTATGTTTCATTGATTACCAGTACTAGCATTATGAAACATTCACTTTGTCAATTTAAAACCAGAAAAAGGGAGGGAAAAAGTGTCTTTTAGTTGGGCTAAGAATGCATACTTTTATGAACAAATTAGAATCCTTCATGATGAAGAATATGGATAGTTAAAATCTTTGTTTCTTATTTAAAGGCTGAAATCCCTTGCCTACTTTACTATACTTTATTTTTGTATACATTTTCTATATTTCATGTTGTGAAAGAAAAGTAATTTTTAAATAATAAAACTTTGAGAACAGCTGTTGAGTGGATTATTTTATCTTTAGAAAATTTATTACAACGTTTCGACCACTTGTGTGGTCATCATCAGGTAAATTTATTTATATCATAAATAATAGTTATAATAATTTCGTAATAAGTATAATCTAACAAACGCTTATAGTGAACAGTTTAATCACCCGTTGTTACTGAGTTTTTGTGGTTGTTATTTTTGCAAAAGAAAAAAATAAGATTTGTATCTCTCATACCTGAAAGTCAATGAGGTGAAAGGGGAACCGTTTTTTTTAAAAAAAGTCACGAGTCTTGAAATTTCTGAAATGGGGACTTTTCCCCCTCTATATTTCTACTCATTCAATTGCTATCGTTCAGTGTATAAGATAAGACAGCGTACTCTCGATATTTTCATGGCACCGAGAAAGCTGGGTTTGAGGCTACATTAACGTTTTGAAGGATATATATATGAGTTCTAACAAGAACCACACCGCCCTCTGGTGGCTCAGCAGTAAGTCTCACAGCTTACAACGCTAAAATTATGATTACCATAACCGTGGTGGATAGCCCATTGTGTAGCTTTGTGCATAAATACAAATAAAAATGTTTAGAAATATATCTTTGTCATTTTAGTACGCCTTGCTTAACAGTATGGTATGTTTATACTATATTGTATTTCGCTTAAGAACTTTTTGGTATCCTGCGAGGTAACTATTCCCGAGTAAGGACCACAAGAGAATGTAGAATTTACAGGGCGCTTACAATATATATATTTATTTTTTATTTTTTTAAGAAGCTGTAAACATTTTTAAAAAACAGCTTAGATCAAAAGGAAGGATAGCGTAAATTTTACACAGCATATCCAAACCTAAAATACCTTAGATATTGTAAAATTTGTAGCAATGTACAGTTCTTAATATTTAATGTTAATATATTAGTACATAAACAGATTTTTAATGGCTTTGGTGAGAAAAATTTGATTAAATATTTTAAATTATTTTATAATACTGTTACGACAGCGGAAGTCGCGTGACGCTGGGAGCATGTGCGCTGGAATTTCTAAAATTATCGGGGAACCCCGCGAATGTCCGAATGTTTGCTAGAAGCCTTCTTTTTTAGTATATAAGTCTGGCAAAGAAAGTCAGCGATATAGATAGATAGACTGAAGAGATAGATAATTGAGTCAAGCGAACAG